TCCTAAATTCTTCTGATTTTTTATGATGTTTTTCTGATGATTTCAAGATTTCTCTTCATTTGGTGTTTTTTTTCTTTCCTAATAATTTTCTCTGATTTCGTTTTATTTTTTCTGATTTTCTGTGATTTCCTCTAATTTCTCCTGATTTTTTCTGATTTCTTTTAATTTTCTCATGATTTCTTTTATTTTTTTTTATTTGTCTTGGTCTTTTGATTTCCACAAATTTCTCCTAGTTTCTTCAATTTTCCTCTAATTAAAAAAAAAGTCCGTGGACCAAAAAAAAACACCATTTTTTTCTAGCACTAATTCTTAGGATTACGTTAATAACTGTAACTAAGAAATTTTTTTGCCAAAAGATTTCAAGACTGGCAACTTGAAGCTTTAAAATAGATTTTTTAAATCTAAATACGACCATCGTTCTCGAGATATGCTATTCCTTTCCAAAAATTTCCTTTTTTTTTTTCTTTTCTTTAAATCAATGTTGCAAGTAATGTTTTTTACAAAAAATTGTAAAAACATATTGCAGATTTTTTTACAGTTTTTGAAACAGTCCTTACATTCTCTGTGCGGTTATTGGTTGCTGAGATATCGATAATCAAAGACGAAAAAATCCTTTTTCATTAAAAGTCAAATATCTCAGCAACAAATTGACGTAAAAAAACATAAAAAAGCTAATTAAAGCTGAATAAACAAGCCATATGGTTCATGTATTGATTTAATTAGTTCGTGAATAAAAAAAAAAAATTTGTCTTGTGCTATTTCTTAGGATTACGTTGTTGTAATGAGTTGTAAAAATCATCAATTAAATTTAAGAAATTTTTTTATTTTCTAAATTTTTTGGAATAGTAAAAGGCTTATTTAAAATGTTTTGTCCTTTTAAAGTTTTGGGATGATAAAAAATCTTTTTTTCAAGGATTTTTTCACTAAAAAGTTTAATTTTGAATTAATTTGAAAAATGGAAAACCAAAATAGAATAACATAGGTAAACGATGAATTTGATAAATTTTTTCGAAGGGGAAAAACTGACGCTAAAACTGATTTTAAAAAATGCAACGTTATTAAAAAGAGGACTTATTACTATTATTTTTTTACCTTAAGCATCCATTAAAAAATTTCAATGGATGCACCCATGTTAAAAGCGACCATTTTAGATAAAATCGTTCCATATCTAAGACTATAAATTTCTTTCTCTTGACCCAAATATCGAGGATTTTTTCCGCATTTTCTTGAAATTTCATTTGCATCTCCGAATTATTAAATTAAGTTAATTGGCGGGCAAATACAAATTGTTAAAACATTTCCAGACTTGGAAATGGCAATTTTTCCAGATAACAAACGACGATATTTATTTTTAAGAGTAGCAAATAAATAAGGTTGGAGGTTGTAATATGTTCGTTGACAACACTCGAAAAATCTCCAATATTGCGTTATTTTCCATCTGTGTTGCTTCCGATAAGTGCTACAAGTTTTTAATTTATTTCCGACTCAAATAAAAGCAAAACAAAGTCATGTTTTGTTCTTTATCATTTCTCATAAACAATAAATCAAAGTGCCATCACTTGAATAAAATCGGTTTATCGCTGGAAAAAACCAAAAGCTTTTTATTGCGATTTTATAAAGAAGATTAAGACAAAAAAGTTTCTCTTTTAAAAGCATAACGCTGTATCAATAAAATTTAAGCTATTGTTTTACAACATCCCAAATCGTAAATGTGCGAATTTAAAAAAACACCCAAAAATTATTACCTCGTGTTTTTCTTTATGCAAATCCTTCTAGTATTCACAAAGCTGCTTGCTTTATTAGGACTCGTGAGAAAACTCAAACTTTATTACACTATCGTATGATGACAAATAAATTGAATTTTCGTCTCGGGAAAACTTGGAGTTGATTTTAATGAAGCTCGGACTAGCGGCGTGTTGTCTATAGAAGAGGGGAAAAAAGCTCAAGTAATAGAAATCGCGCGTTCTTGAGAAAAAATTTAATAAATGTCTTTTATTAGAAGCAAATCTGGAATTAGGTTGTGTAAAATCGGAAAAGCGTCACTTTTATGTAAAAATATCAGCGCTTTTCCATTTCGTGTGCAATTCCCTAATGTAAATGAATCTTCATGTTGCAGACTTACAACATGGATGCTCAAATAGGAGAGTCATCAGCATGCGCAACGGCGTTGATGTGCGGTGTTAAAACAAACTTTGAAACGGTCGGTTTGGATGCTCGAGGTCGTTTCGAAAACTGTTTTTCTAGCTTCTCTTCACGAGTCTCATCGCTGATAGATTGGGCACAAGAGTCAGGTAAGAATTGTTGGTTTTCCCTTAACGAACATTCTTTCAACAACAGAATAAATATTTGCTAAGACGATCTCGAACTATAGTGTTGGCTTTTTTGCGATCAATTTGGGGATAACACAACTTGACGAATTTTATATCATTTTGTTCGTCTCAGTGAGACAAATCAAATGCACTAAAAAAATTTCAAAAACTAAACACACTTTTTTCTAATTTAAATGAATTTAAAATACTTTAAATTTCAAAAATTATTACTCAATAACTATTAAACCGATTGATTTCAATTAAGACCATTCTAAAGGGATGGACTTGCCCTTTAGAATGATATAAAATTTGAAATTGAATATTGGCAAACTTTTCTTCGAACAGTGTTTGAAGCAGTGCGAAGTAAATCGAAATAATCTAAGAAAAACCCTACGAGTAATTTTTTTTCTTTGTCATCATCGTGTAGAGCATCTTTTTAATAGTAAGAATCCAAATTTTTAAAATAATATAATGAGTAGTTTTCAAGATATGATTTTTTGAAGTTAAGGTTTGCTAATCAAGCATTGCTCCATGCATGTTAATCTTACTTAAAATCGCATTTTAATAAAAGTATTTGTTTTAAGACTCTTCTTTTGCTTAAAAATGCTCAATTGCATCTTCTTTGTTCTAATTAGAATAAACAAAAACTTTTTCTTTACTTAAAACAAACAAAGAGTACTAATTAAAGCAAATAAAGAGTTTTTTTGCTCTAAAAATGATCACTGATCATTGAGCAAAAAGGATCTAGAAGTTTAAAGCAGTAGCTTTAAATTTAAGAACAAATCTTTTTCAAATTAAATCACTTTCCTTTCAGATTCCAACTTGTTCACTTTGTTCTAACTTTCTGAACTTTTTATTGAAAATGTTCTTAGGAAATGCTTTCTCATCACTTTCTACTGATGTTGAATGCAATAATAACTGAAGCTAATCGTAGAATGAACCAACAGAAAAACATCATAAAAAAATTAGAAGAATTAAAAAGATACATGAGGTAATCAAGGAAAACAAGAAGAAGTTATAAGAAAATCAAAAGAATTCAGAAAAAATATTAAGACAATACAGAGGAAATCATGAGAAAATCATTCATTTCGTAGAAGACTGAAAACCTGAAGCTGTAAAATGGATTTTTCAAATCTAAATACGACCATTTCTCATTGCGGTATGTACAAAATTTCAAAAATCATCAAAAAATTTAAGAAATTTTTTGAAATATTAAAAAGTTTTGAAGTTTTTGAGATAATAAGCTCAAACCTTATCCATGATGAAGATCATAAGAAAATAGGTAAATTAAAAGAAATCTTGAGAAAATCAAAGAATTTAGGTGAAATCAAAGGAAATCAGAGGAAATTTTGAAAAACTAGGAGAAATGTGTAGAAATCAAAAGACCAAGAAAAATAAAAGAAATTATGAGAAAATTAAAGGAAATCAGAAAAAAATGAGAGAAATTAGAGGATTATTTTGAAAATGTTCTGAGCAAATGCTTTTTTATCACTTTCTAACGATATTGAATGCTTTTGAAAATTTGGATTACAACTAATAAAAAAATGCTCTACACGATGCTAATGATGAAAAAATATTACTCTTAGGGTTTTTCTTAGATTATTTCGATTTACTTCGAACACTGTTCGAAGAAAAGTTTGCCAATATTCAATTTCAAATTTCATATCGTTCTAAAGGTCAAGTCCATCCCATTATTTGAAGGAAATCGGCCTAATAGTTATTGAGTAATGATTTTTTCAATTTAAATTCTTTTAAATTAGAAAAAAATTATTTAGTTCAAAGTGTGTGGACTTTACAATTTTTTTTAGTGCATTTGATTTGTCTCACTGAAACGAACACGACATGACTTTTTTTGTCGCCCTGTGTAATTCAAACCAGAAAATTATGTCTCAAAATTAGTCTTGGTTGTTTAAACGACAAAAAGCATAAATTGGAATTCAAATGCATTCCCTGTGGATATGAACTAATGGACGATCGTTATCCTGCAGACTGCTCGAAGGCAAAGCTCAAATGAAAAAGGAAATTTAAAAACCGTAACTTTAGTTTTTCACTCGTCGCATTTATTGGAGTTTGTCTCCACCCAAAGGAAATATTCCTGTGCTACACTTAAAAATCCACCACTAATGAAACTCATTAGTGTTTATAAAATTTTACGTGACAGTGAAACATGGCCGTGGGGAGATAACAAGAAAGAAATATGCTAATGATGCTACTATAGTACAATTTCTCTTCGAGACAAAAAAAACTATCAAACAATTATTTAGAACGTAACTAATTTTTCTCTCAAGTTATTTTACGCAATGTTAAATTTATTTAAAGTCATTATTATCCCTCTTCGGAATTTTAAACGTCTCAGTGAGCTAAATACTTTTCCCTTGAGGAAAACTAATACTACAGAGGCTCGTGTTACTTTTTACCTCGCTGAATTCCGCTTTGCGACTTTATTTTTCTCTTGCATGGTATGACAAATCTTTGCTATAAAATGTGATTTTTCTAGCCGGATGTATTATTGTAAAAGAATCCGTTTCCGTTTTGCCATTTCTAATCGGCTTTAATTTAATTTTTTTCTGGCAAACTTCCAAAGACTTATCCATGAGTCGAGTCTTTCGCTTTGTTTGACATTTCACTTTATTGAAAAAATTTAATATATTAGTCGCGTCTCAATTTCGAAACTTTGTGCATTCACGCTTAATAACATGGGAGCCGACTTTTCATATTTATGGGTGCATAAACAAAAAATCATTTTCTTCTTCTGGATTTTTGCTGAATTAATTGTTATTTAATATTTGGAAAATTTAAAAACAATATAATTTTTTGTATAGTACAAAAGAAAAAATTCAATAAATAACATATGCAATAAAAATAGTACATGTTTAAAGTTGCAAAATGCTGGAAATTGTTGAGTTTTGAAAAATAATACTCTATTCTTAAATGTGAAAAAAAATTAGAAACAATTTAAAAAAATGACTTTTTTGAAAATTTGCATGTATGTTTGTAAATATAGTGCTGAATTCAGTTTGGGGGTATCAAATTTTAATTAATGTCATTAATTTGAAATGAGTAAAATTAGGATACACAAAAGGTAAATAAATGTCAGTTTTGGTTTTTGATTTTTTACATTTTCAAAAATATCAAAAAAAAATTTTTTAATTCCTTTAATACTTTTGTAAAACTTGGATCAATCGAACCGAGAAAACAGTTTAGAGCTATTATTAGGCTATAAAAAATCTGGTATTAACATCACACGACTTTCCTTATCCTACTTATTTAGAAAAAAAATGCGTTAGTGCCAATTGGCGGATTACAAGCAAAATAGATCATAGTTATTATTATTATTATTTTATTACATTTTACTGTTTATTAAGGTATATTTCATGATTCTAAATAATTTTACGGCCGATTTTTGGTCTTTGCGACCGAACGGTGCGACCGATTTTTACCAAATGTTTTGTGCTGCGTCCCCTTCCTATTAGTAACTTATGTACCAAATTTCAAGTTTCTAGCTCTTATCGTTCTCGAGATTGCAATACCTTTCCAAAAATTTCCTTTTTTTCCTTTCTTTAAATCAATGTTGCAAGTAATGTTTTTTACAAAAAATTGTAAAAACATATTGCAGTATTTTTTTACAGTGTTTAAAACTCTATGCGATTATTGGTTGCTGAGATATCGATGATCAAAGACAAAAAAATCCTTTTTCATTAAAAGTCAAATAT